TTTATGTTATATATATATATATATATATATATATATATATATATATATATATATATATATTTTATTTCAAAAATCTTAAAGATTTTATGTCCGAATTAATGGTAAAAATTAAGAAGTTTAGCTCTCAATTTTTAAGGCTCCGCCATATAAATTACGACATAGAAAGTAGTGTTTAAGTAATTTAATAACGTAAAACTATTTTATACTGTCACTATAAAAATAAAGCTAACGGACTACTATTTTCTTCAACCAATAATTTTCTTGTCTACCAATATCCCACCTCCCATCTTCTTCCTTACATTTCTTGCTGTCACACCGAAAAGGTATTATTTTTAAACACAATGTATTTCAAATACATTAATGGTGGACTAGAATATATCAAAATAAGAAACAAAACCTTGTTCTTTTCTTCTAGTTGATATTATTTTTTTATGTATATTAATTTGCATGAAAGATTTCAAGAATGGATGTCGTTTGGCTTCTTGTATATGGTGGGGTTATATGTTTTTTTTGAGGCCATATTAGGGCATTAGACCTTTTTATTCTAATGAGGAAATTGAGCTGGCTCTTCACCCCCTTTTAATCTATTTTATGTTATTTTATATTTATCCTGTGTACTGCCTAGAAACTTGATTGGCTTTGATTTATAATTTTCTATAGAAATGTATTATTAAAGACACGAATTGGGGTTACAAAATTATATTGTTTGTCTTGCATGGATGCAACATTGAGTGTGACTGCACGACGGAATTGTACATATAATTTATTTGATTAATTCATTGAATCCATCTATTTATGTAAAATCCTCTTTTTTGTCTCTTGTTCCCCATTTTCAAGTCACTCCAAATTGAAAAGTTAAAAAAAAAAAAAAAGGAAGAAAAGGAAAGACGACTTGTGAGTGTTTTTCCTTTTTTGTATGGCTTTACTTTAACGACGACTTGAGGTAATATTACAGTTTTGAATATAAAATAAAAAGTAACAAGAATCTTTTGTAAATTAATTGATACCAATCTCTTGTGTTATTTTTATCGATCTCAAATGAAAATAATCATATATTTAATATTTTGTAATAAGAGGTGGAGCTAGCCTATGAGTTATTTCGACCAAACTAGTCATTTTGCTTAAATATTATATTCGTACTAAAAAATTAATTAAATATGCATAAATGTTGGTGAACTCAGTAACTACGACGAATTATGGATTCCGCGGCAAATTTAAAACCCATAAACTTTAAAATCCTGACTTCACCGCTGTTTATAATGAATCATAAAACAATCTCCTTTGAGGACTTTTTATGTGCAGTAGTTGAATTTTTAGTGGTCCTATTATTGTCCTTTTATTCAGGTTCTAAGGTTCGTTTTCAAAGGAAATTTCGAATATTTTTTGAAATATGACAAAAGTAGTGATAATTATACTCTATTTTATATATGACAAAAAATTTTTGGGGCATTTTCTCTATATGATTAAAAGTAGGAAATCAAGACTATAAGTCTTCTTTTCCTTATTATATGGCCCACTTAATACTTTCTTTTTCCTCTTTTCCTTCGCGTTGCACTCATGTTCTAAAATTTCTATATACACCTCTACTTATGCTCAATAAATAGCCTGAAAATTTTGGGAGATCAAGGTTTAATGAGATATGTACGATTTGTTTTCATAGAGTTACCGAGTACATATTTTGATAGGAGATAGTAGGATAGTGAAATAGCCAAGGTGCGCACAATTTGGTTGTTATGACAAAAAGAAAATAATAATATGCATGCATGATTACTTTACTTATGTTCGACTACTCTTTCCAAATAATTACAACTGCTTTTTAGCTTTATTAACATGTGGTGTATATTCGAATTTTCACATAAATATTAATTAGTAATTCCAAGTTTTTGAACTTTGATGCTTCCAAGAGACAAATTGGCTTGAATTCCATCGTGAAACAAGAAGGTGGTACATTATATAGCTGGATTTCATCTAGTTGTTCATATAGTTGACCTTCCAAAGGTGGCTTTAAAAAAGAACAAACATCATCCGAAAGTAACATATATATGTACTATCAAGTTGTATTGTATGCTTTTTTGTTTTGAAAATAAATTCAATGTTGTTTTGGTCACAGTTCTTAGGAGAACTAAATTAAAAACATGTCTTTCAATATTGAATAAATTTGTCCTTTGACTAAAACCTTTTAGACTCTTTGAGTAACAAGTGATGGAAAATAGGTATTTACGGCGGAAACAAAATAGCCAGGATCACTTGCATGTAATATAGACAACATATAATTATAGATTTTAATCAACCATAAGATCGATACGTATTTCTTGAAGCGTGACAGCGATCGCGAAAAGAGCCTCCAAGCAAGAGCGAAAACGTCCATGGGATCATCTTCCAGTTCCACAGTCTTCTGCTGTGTGACCCGAATAATGACCGGAATAAGCGAAACTCGTGTGGGCGAGTTTCTCCTAGGAAAACTGTATAGTAAAACCCATAGCCTCCTTATGGAATAAGACCTCTTTATATAGCCACAGGTTTTAGGGTTTAAAGCCTTTTTCTAAACCTGTTGGGTCTTACTTTTCCACCAAGAAATATAATTCCATTTAATTCCTAATTATTCGGTCACAACAGGGACCACAATATTTAATTAATGAGGCTTCCTATTATGGACTTAATTCGAAATATCTGAATTAATACTACCATAATAAATTACGAATTATTCTACTAAAAATTCGTAACTGCACTCCTCAGTTCAGTTTCGAAATTCTTCCATTAAACATTATTTAACTTCCCATGTTAAGATTCAGATACTAATCGAATAAATTAAATTACTGACAATTTAATTCATTGATTATTTCCTTTAGACCTTCGCTTAACTTATTTCATGTGACGGGTACAAAATCCACCTGCAGGGTTTACACATGAAAACTTATAAGCTTTCATAAAGGTGTATTATCAATCTCTAGACTTAGACATGGATTCCATCAACTAATTATTACTTCGCCAATGTATCATCATTGTCCAATTACCAGGCATATTGACCCACAAAAGAATCTTGCCTTTTATTAAATCAAAACAATAAATAATATACACAACTAATAATAATTATATCAAGATTAAGAGTATAAGTACATTTAATGGCTAGAGAATTTATTTTATTAAGTCAGTATAAAATACTTATCTCTACTTGGTCCGTTTAATACATACAAAATGTACTAGCACAAGAAGTCGGAATTAAACCATTCTCATAATCAAGATAAATTATATTTAATCTTGTGCTACAATCATTCTTGATGGTTTGTCCAATTCCATCATTAGATTGTGAACATGATCTTTATATTTATAAGAACCGATGATTTAATCTTCTGTGTATAAGCTAAACTCTAAACACTAAAGCATCTACTATATAAGTAATGGACACAAACGAATATATGATCTATTTAAAACTTTGTTAAACTTAAACAAATAATTATTCCATAATAAATACTATATCCAAACCAAAATCCATGGTTAATAGTATATATCCCAACAACAAGTTGCGACTTTAGGGCAAAGGCATTGCAACCAAGTAGAATTGTCGTGAAGCGGTAAATATTCCTTTATTCTTAATCAAAGGCTTTGGGTTTGAATTTTACATATAGACTAGAGAGTGATTTATCGCACAATGTGGGATTTTCCCGTACAAAAAGTTAAGATTTAATTGAGCCCTAATACGGATACCGGACATTAGACGAAAACCAAAAAACTGAATTGCTGAAAAATCTTAGAGTAACACTTTATAGAGCAACCTTTTTAGAGAAAATCCCAATTAAAATATGAAGTACTGACAAATCTTTTCAATATTCACAAGAATATAATCATAATAAAGGCAACTGGTAAAGATTGATTAAGGTGGCCCTTTTGACTTTATATACTACTGCTAGTAGTATTAAGCAAATAGAAACTAATGATAGAGTCTTTAAGGGCAAATCATACTAGTTGATAGCATAATCCAAATCTTCAGGTGACGTTTACATTAATTCTTCTACTTGTTTCCTCTTCTTCTTTTTCTCCTGTCACAATCCGTACACTTTTTGGGTAATGGTGAAAAAAACAGTAAGAATCATTAGAATATATACCATAGGAAAAATTTAAAATAATACTCCAATAAAAGAATC